GTCATTTCGTTAAATTTTGATTGATATAGTATGTTAATTAATAAAAAATTTTATTTATTTATTTACTTAAATTACGTGAAAAATCCATTTTACAAAAATTGATGACATAACTAACTTTTTTTTTACTTTTAATTACTTATTTACCCCCATCGTCTTCCCCATCCTTTCCTTTCTCCAATTTTTTTTTATTTATTTTACCTCCAAGCGAACCCAGGAGTTGGGTTCGTCCTAAACCCAGGAGCTGGGTTCGTCCTGAACCCAGGCACCTAGCTTCGACATGGGTTCTGGGTTCCTGGGTGCACGATGAACCCAAGCAGCTGGATTCGTTGTGGGTTCTAGGTTCCTGGGTTCACGATGAACCCAGGCGCCTGGGTTCGTCATGGGTTCCTGGGGAGAATCTGCAAACCTCCGTTTCATGTTGGAATGCATCTGCTATATATACAACCACATGGCGATGGAATTAAACAAAATTCTAGATAATCGCATAGATGATTACATGGGGATGCCATTTGTGCCCTCAAGTTCTAGGGATTGTGGTTTCTTGAAGAACATAGTGATGTAGTTTTGCGAAACGATAAAGAAGGAAATGGAGGACAGTCGAAACAGAACTACGCTGCATTTTGCTTGGGGGAACTACAATGACATTAATGAGTATTTTTGGAGCAGGGGGTGTTTCAGGAGTCTAAAGTGGCCAATCGACATGCGGGGCAACTTTCTCTATACAGCTAACAAGAACAATAGAGTGGGAAAGACAGGGTTTGTGGAGCAAAGGTCGTTTTGGAATGTGTGTCGGAGCTTCGACAGGCTATGGGTTTTGTTGATTTTGTTTTTGCAGGCAATGATAATTGTTGCCTGGGAAGAGACGGAGTCTGGATGGAAAGCACTAAAGAGAAGAGAGGTGCAATTGAAATTGTTGACGGTTTTTATCACCGGAGAAAGGAAAAGATGGGGAAGGAGATGGGGGTAAGTAATTAAAGGTAAAAGAAGTTAGTCATGTCATCAACTTTTGTGAAAT